AGATAGATAGATAGATAGATAGATAGATAGATAGATAGATAGATAGATAGATAGATAGATAGAAGATAGATAGATAGATGATAGATTTAATATTTCTCTTGTAATTTTAGTAGTTCTAACTCCTGATTCTCTGAGTTAACCATCAAAAAAACAGATCCCAGGTTTATTTTTAGAAAGAGATTTCTAAGACCCATCAAAGAGCAGAGGTGGTCTCACCTTCTAAACACAAATATACAGCTACATTTAGTTCAAAGTTACAACAGCACAGAAAAAAAGTGAGGTATGATCGTTTTTCACACTTACGACCACTGCCATATCCCGACAATCACCTGAGCAAAATTCAGACCCTTGGCAACTGACTCACAATTATGACGGTTGAGGGGTATTGTAGTCATGTGATCAACTTTTTATAAACTTTTGACAAGCAAAGTTAAAGTCAAGCAAAGTTTCACTTAACAGCTGTGTCACTATCTTAAGCACTGCAGTGATTCACTTAACAACCCTGGCAACAAAATGGGGCAAAACTCACTGAACAACTCTCTCACTTAACAACAGAAATTTTGGTCTCGACTGCGGTTGTGTGTCGAGGATTACGCGCAATTGTATTGTGTTAAAACAAAAAGAATCAGGAAACCTCCGAGGGTTACCACTGAAAACTCAGTACGATGTATTTGAATGCATTTAAATTACTTCCGTGGAAATGAATTAAATTTGTATTTAAATTATATTTAAGATTTTTTTTTCTCTCTCCTTTTTAATTCTGTTCAAGGTATTAGACGTTTGCACAATAGCGCTTAGATTAATCACCCAAACGTTGTGTACCTAAATTATATCTCTATTGTACAATATTTTCTATCCATTTCAAACTTCTCCACACCCTCTTGATAAAAACCATGCAGAATGGGTTGCCATATTTCCTTAGCCGCACCATGTTTTGACCACAAAATAGCTGCTAGACAATGAAAGCCTATTTTTCCTTCCGTACGAGGCGCAGGGAACAAACTGATCAGATTTCAAGAACTTTGCAAGATGTACGTTTTGTTCTCTTTTAAACTTTAAAAAAAAAAAATAGTTGACCAAAGTCTTTAGAACATTTCACAGTTCTCCATTCAGTGTCCAAGATCAATACAACATCATTCCTCACCCCACCCCAAGGTGGCCAAATACGAGGACAATACATCTCTATTTGCTCCTCCAGACCCATGACGAATACTTACGTGTTGCAGTATCGAAAGATCCCACGGATGTCCACCTCACGCACCGCAGCCGTCACGATGGGCACGGTGACCATTTCTGGGCCAAGACCCACCAAAACTAAAGTCCCACCAGGACGCGTTGCCTGAGAAGAAATAAGGAGTGCAGAGAAGAGCAACAAAGAGGATTAGGTCTAGAACGTATGAAGAGCAGTTGCTGGAACTGGGTAGGTCTACTTGGATGAAAAGAAGGACACCAGGGGAGGCATGATAGCAGTCTTCCAATATCTCAGGGGCTGCCCCAAAGAAGAGGGAGTCAAGCTATTCTCCAAAGCACCTGAGGGCAGGACATGAAGCAATGGGTGGAAACGAATCAAGGAGAGAAGCAACTTNGTTCGTTCCAGAGGGTCGGAGCAGCCACAGAGAAGGCTCTCCTCCGGGTAGTTGCCAGTCGACACTGGCCGGTGGATGGAATTCGGAGGAGGCCTGCTCTGTGCGATCTAATCAGTCTGGGGGAGGTAATTGGCAGCAGGCGAACATCTAGAGAGAAAATCCCAAGGGTGCTTTTTCCAAAAGGCCAAATGGACTTTCTTGGTTTTTTCTTGATAAGATTTCGCTTCTCATCCAAGAAGCTTCTTCAGCTCCGAATTTCTTGAAGGAGAAGAAAAATGTTTTCAAGGAAGAACCAAGGAAGTCCAATTGCCTTTTGGAAAAGCATCTTTGGGACAACCATGACCTGGATGACTGAGAAGCTCCATAGACATCTGTAGAGAAAAGTTAACATTTCGGGGAAATGAATTTGATAACTGGGCAGAGTAGTCCTAGTCATGAGAAGTGCTTTATTACCAATAAAATAAAATAATTATCATTATTTTTATGATCTTCCTAAAAACCAATAGGGTAGGAGCTATTGAGATTCTTGGGACATGGGAGGCAGCTACTGAGATGACCTACTTCCCTCGCCCTGTGATGACATTTCCTAAGAGAAGGAATACAGAGTAGTCTGCACTATTTGAACTTGTTGAAAAGGTATCAACAATTGGGAATGAAAGGTCATGTCGTGGTTAAGTATATATAGCTTCCAAATGACCTCTTCAAGGTCAGCCCCATTGCAACATTCCAAACAAGAGGGCATGAATGACTTTCAGAAGAGCCTCCTGTTCCAGAAGAAGTTGTAGGTGGCATTCTTTGCACACATTGCTGTACAACCACGCGATAAGAAAAATACACACAGTACATATTTCAACATTTCTCCAGCTACACCAGCTACACCTGCAGCCTTGCCATTTTTCAACATTTATTCTTTTCTTCTCATTCTTTTTTTTTCTTTGACACCAAGATATATAGAATTTAATTCAACATACCATGATCACTGCCATTTAAGTGTTATCATTTTCGCAAAGCTTATCCTTCTAGCATTTGCATCCTAAATCTTGTCATTACTTCTATTTTTAACTTCTCTGCTGCTGGCCCCTTGTTTAGCTTCACGACAAAATGAAGATGTGGGTACTCCAACACTGGAGATGTTAAAGAAGAGATTAGGCAGCCATTTCTGCTTGAGCAGGGGGTTGGACTAGAAGTCCCCCAAGGTCCCTTCCAATTCTGTTATTCTGATTGTCACCTCCATCATCTTCATTTTTGAACTGGGGTGCAAAACCTGGATGACCACCAGGTAGGAGGAGAGATACATAGAAAAACCTAACTCTTAACTGCCATCAAGTGGTCTTCTGAATTTTGGCATCCAAGATATGGGTGCTGCACTCAATTATTTATTTTAACCAAGACTACCTCCCAGGAGTGATCTTTTAAGTTTGAAGTAAAAATGTGATAGTGGAAATGAAATGAAGAAAGAATAACACTTCAAAAGGTGAGTCAATTATTTTGTGCCAGATGGAAAGATTATTGTCCTTCAATAATGGTGATCAAACTCTGGCACAGAATGGAACAAAATATCTTTTTCCATTAGTCTGCTGTGATTAAACAATTGCCAGCTCTAAGCTACGCAACACAACATCACAAATAGGGACTCTAAAGCAAAACTATTAGATCTTTTCCTCTCATATCCTATTATAATAGTTTTATGCTTCAAATAAGATAAGCACCCTGCAGTCAAATAATTAGAAATTTGCATATGTAATCCATAAATTGCCATAATTACAAAGATGAATACCCTAAATGCGTATTTAATATGCCTCAAATTTGAAAATCGTGTATTAATGTAATGGATAAATTGCTCCTTTTATTCAAAAATTACTGAGAACAGATGGCTTGTTATGTACATAGCCAGTTAAGGAAATAATGATGAGAAAATTTCATGATGCATTTCTTTATTTTATTTTTATTTATGTATATTCAATATTTCTAAATCATCCATCTCCTGTGATGGCAAGCCTATGGCACGCGTGCCGGAAGTGGTACGCAGAGCCATCTCTCTGGACACACCGGCCGTTGCCCATTGCTCTTCCAGTTTCCAATGGGCGTCTTTGCACCCACAGGAGCACCGGAAACTAGAAGAGCAGCACCCCAGCGTGCACGTGCATGCTGGGAAACTGAGTTGCTGGTTTCTGGTGTGTGCATGCGCGCCAGGGGGCTGCTCTTCCACTTTCCGGAGCACCCATATGCGCACACGCACTCCTGTTTTGGCACTCGTGCCGAAAAGGTTAGTTGTCACTGATCTATACCATCATTTTTTAAAAATCCTCATATTAGTTGTGGCTGAGATTGCACCAGTTCAGACTAAACAAACAGGGAAAATTATGATTCAGTGGCATGTGAGTCACTAACTGAGAGAAAAACTGAATTTGCATAAGGGGTGTTCAGAGCTGAATGGTGGAGAAAGCCAAAAAAGTGGCTTTGTTGACAATCAGGTTTTTAAAAGGAAATGTCTTTCAAATAGACATTATTTTTGATCTTAATAGTGAACCCCTAAAAAGTTGGCTTTTCCAGCAAGCCAGCCTGGCCTGAACAAAACAAAATAAATTATTGATCATTGTTAATTT